GTGATTTATACGTAATACTACTAGTGCCAGTACCACATAAGAATTTTATATTTTTTTCCTTCTTACGATCTTTGCTTTGTAGTAAGACCCACATTTCTGTTGTTATTGAGTTAGAATTAAAACAGTCTAACTGATATATATATATAGTTTATTCTGATTTTTGCAAATGGTTCAGTGTACAAGTGACAACAATAAAACCCATATGTTGGTTGTGAAACAGGCTAAATACATTCATCTCAATAATACAGGGAAGCTATGACATTCTCACAGTTGGGGTCTCAATACACTGAAGAGCTAAAGTTTCTAATTGTAACATAAATCTTGCCTATAATGAGAGGAATGTGACCAGGACTAATCTTTTAAGTGCTGTAAAGTAATTTGTTTTTGTAATTTATGGTGTCCGTATCATTTGGTAATCTTTTCTAACAGGATGTATCAAGTACCAAGGGGTCAGTCTCAGGCGGTGTTTATTGAAACCACCTGTACTATAAACTGTTACATACATTTGCTAGTAGTGGCAATTAGTTTTGTCTCTATAGTGAAAAACATACACAAACATATGTTGAAATAAACTTGTTTGAAAGTTCAAAGAAATGATATTCAAGTACTGAAAAGGTTTCTTACTATCATATCTACAGTAATGTTCAAATGCGCCCATGCTGGACTGAACGAAAATGACCCCCAACAGGGGTGAGATAGTATGGAAAATGTACAAAGTTCACACTGCTGACCCCACGGTTTATTCGGCACAATAAACAAAAGTACGGCTGCAATGAAACATAAACATAAACTTGAAATAAAAATATATTTATGAAAGAAAATTAAAATGTTTTTATGTACATATATAAACATTAAATCTTAGTTAAAACAAAAATACTCATTTATTGTTTAGGTTTATTTACAAATATTATTTTTGGGTCTTGTATATTTCCGAAACCATAAGGGAAGTTTATGGTTATTAAAAAATTAAAATTGATAAAATTTGCACTTTATGGACTACACAAATTTTTTTGGGATTGCAAAATAATGTACTAAAACATAAAAAGTAATCAGTTCAAATCTGGAACAAATTACAATATAAATAATATA